AGGCAGGAGTCTGCTTGTCAGAATTACACACAATCTGGGTGGCTGCAGCCACCGGGTATGTGTGCAAAACCTCCCGCTGTCAAGTCTGTACGACAAACAGACCTGCCAGCAAAAGTATTGCCGGTGGAAAATATAGGATACAGAAGTTCATTATTGTTTGTGGATACATTTAAAGCTTGACATGTTGAGTATCTATTTACTCAGTGCAACCTCATCTTTTATATTTTGACAAAAAATAGGTAAAATAATGTGTTTGTGTGTCCTAAAATTAACTTTAGTGTATTTCTTATTGAAATGTTGTGCTTGATAAATTGTTGCACAAATATCACGTGACATAAAAAAATGATAACTACCACCGTTTTATTTCTCCAGGGTGCTTGCTTTCCGAAAATCAATATTATATTTGGGGGTTTTTTTAATTATTCTTCAGGACGAAATTGATTTTTAAACTTGTGCAAAAAATGAAAAATCAGCTCTGACAGCTATAGGGATAAATTACGGAACTATTAATGATGGCGATAGAGGTCTCATTCTTTTGGCATACCATGCATTTTATTGCAAGATTCGCTTTAATTTTTTGTTTCAAACGCAGTTAAAAACAAAAAAAAGAAGAAAAGAAACATAACATGAAGATAGAGATGGAGATTCTTACTTCAATCTGACTTTTTTTGATCTGTGTTCAAGTTAGTGTCTCAAAGTTTTGAAACTAGAGACATTCAGAAAACTTGTATACGTAGCAGGAGCTCAGCAATGGCAGCCCTCATTTCTCTCAGTACAGGTCTCCTTTAAATGAGAGCACACCAATAAAATCCAGCCATCCTCTGTGCTTATGGAAAGTCATCTCTGGTCAGCATCCACAATCATGAAGGCTTTAAATTAGAGATCTGCAGTTTTAAAGCTTTTCTATATATTTATAGCAGTGGCTATATAGGAGGTAAATCCATGTAGTTTTAATACTTTTTTTTCTATGCGTTTTATTTTCCATGTTCACATCTTGCTCATCTACATCGTTTAACGCTTGTTCTTCCATCTTGCTAAGCAGCTCCCCTAATAGTGCATGGTGTGTTGAACATGATAAGCTATTCATTAAAGTATTGCCTACTGTTATTTTCCTGCTCAGTACCAGCTAGCACATGATCTCTCTCTGCATGAAGACATTGCACCTCTGACCTCTTTTGTGGCTGTTTCTGGCAGCGGCAGAAAACAAGGTTCACTGAGTTTCTGTAAATCTCTGATTCTGTGTAAACAAATCCCCGGCATTTATACTATAGCGGAGGTTTTAAACATTTGCCCAAAAGCATGCACATCTCAGCGGTTGGCGCAAAGCGAGCAGTAATTGCCAGGGTGGGTACGGCAGGCTGTAGCAATAGATGAAGAACTCACTAGAATATACTGTATGTGATAAATGATAGTATGATCCTATGAATCTGTACATAACGAAGGCTGAATTTATAATAAAGCAAATGTGAACATATGTAAGGTGAGGGCCTCCAAAGCAACTACCGTTTTTTATTATTATTATTATTTATATACAGGATTTATATAGCGCCAACGGTTTGCTCAGTGCTTTACATTATAGTGGGAGACAATACAGTAAAAATACAATTCAATACAAGAGGGATTAGAGGGCCCTGCTCCTTGGAGATTACAATGTAGGAGGGCGGGGTGAGTGGTACAGTAGGTAGTCACTGTGGGGGATGGAGTGGTTGGAAGAGTAGAGGTTACCAGAATTAGCGGGGGGGGGGGGGGATAGGCTTCCCTGAAGAGAAAGGTTTTCAGTGAACGTCGAAAGGCAAGTAGAGTAGGTGATAATCTGATAGATTGGGGTAGGGAGTTCCAGAGGATGGGTGACGCCCTGGAGAAGTCTTGGAGATGAGCATGGGAGGAGGAGATAAGGGAGCTAGAGAGTAAGAGGTCTTGCGAGGAGCGGAGTGTACGGTTTGGGTGATATTTAGAGATAAGATCGGTTATGTAAATTGGGGCAGTGTTGTGGATGACTTTATATGTCATTGTCAGAGTTTTGAATTTTATCCGTTGGGCAACTGGGAGCCAGTGGAGGGATTGGCAGAGAGGGGTAACGGATACGGAACGGTTAGTGAGGTGGATAAGTCTGGCAGCAGCGTTCATGATAGACTGTAGGGGGGATAGTCTATGATGAGGTAGGCCAATGAGGAGGGAATTACAGTAGTCGAGGTGTGATATCACAAGGGAGTGAATGAGTTGCTTAGTGGTTTCTGGGGTTAGGAATGGTCGTATCTTGGAGATGTTGCGGAGGTGAAGTCTACATGATTTTGTCAGCGATTGGATCTGGGGCTGGAAGGACAGATGGGAGTCTAGGATTACACCTAGTACCCTGGCGTGAGGGGATGGACTGAGGATGGTGTTAGCAATATTTATAGTGAAGTCAGGGGAGGGGGCACGGGCTGGGGGGAATGCTAGGAGCTCAGTTTTGGAGAGGTTGAGTTTGAGGAAGTGGAGTGACATCCAGGCCGATATGTTGCTTAGTAGGCTAGCAATACGGGTGGAAACTGAAAGGGTGAGGTGAGGGGTAGACAGATAGATTTGCTTGTCATCAGCATAGAGATGGTAGTTTAAGCTGTGGGAGTTTATCAAGTGACCAAGGGAGGAGGTGTAGATGGAGAAGAGAAGGGGTCCAAGGACAGAACCTTGGGGGACCCCTACAGAAAGAGGGAGTGAGGAGGAGGTGGCAGCGTTATAGGTAACACTGAAGGAGCGCTGTGATAGATAGGAGGAGAACCAGGGAGAGAGCAGAGTCGCTGAGGCCAAAAGAGTGTAGTTTTTTGAGGAGGAGGGGATGGTCAACCGTGTCAAAAGCCACGGAGAGGTCGAGTAGTAGGAGTATTGAATAGTGGCCGTTGGTTTTTGCAGTTAGTAGGTCATTAGAGAGCTTTAGTAGGGCAGTTTCAGTGGAGTGTAGGGGGCAAAAGCCAGACTGTAGGGGGTCGAGAAGGTTGTTGTCAGTGAGGTGGGAGCTCAGACGATTGTAGACTAAGCGTTCTAGGAGTTTAGAGGTAAGTGGGAGCAGGGAGATGGGTCTAAGGTTGTTCAGGTTGGTGGGGTCTAGGGAGGGTTTCTTAAGTATGGGAGTGATGTGCGCATGCTTTAGAGGGGGGAGGGGAATGTACCTGTAGAGAGGGAGAGATTGAAGATGTGAGTGAGGGAGAATAGGAAGGAAGAGGAGGGTGACCAAAGGAGTTGTGAGGGGACAGGGTCCAAGGGGCAGGTGGGGAGGCGGGCTTCTGAGAAGACCTTTAGGACCTCTTCGGTGGTAGCGGGGTCAAAAGAGGACAGTGTTGAGGGTGGTATGGTGTGAGGGATGCTGTCTGTGTAGTGGCGATGTCCCTATGAATTGCGTCGATCTTGTTTTGGAAGTGGTGTGCAATCTCGTGAGCAGTGATTAAGATGCTGGGTGGCGGTGGGGGTGGAGAAAGTAGAGAGTTAAAGGTAGAGAAGAGCCGACAAGGACTCGAAGAGAAGGTATCAATGAGGGTGACAAAGTAAGCTTGTTTGGCAGCGTGAAGGGAGGAAGTGTATGTTAGGAAGGCAGATTTATAATGGGTGAACGCTTGGTGGGATTTGGTTTTACGCCATAATCGCTCCAGCGCGCGACTGTGTCGTTTAAGATTTCGGGTGTGGTCAGTCAATCCATTTTTCAGTTTTACTTTACTGTTTTTAAAACTTTGAGCCCTTGCTTGTAAATATAGTCTGATATTCCAAAATTGCTTTAAAGTGGATCTATTGGCAAAATAAAAAGTTAAATCCATAACATTAAAATGGAATTAAACTCAAAAACTATTTTTTTTTAATATACTAGATGTGCCAATTTAATTCCTAGAATGCTCACCGCATAGCACAACGTTGGTGAGTCACACAGCCATTCACACCTGAGCGTGTTCTGACATGCTTTATCTTGCACTCGCCTGGGTCACAGACCAGTTGACTCAGTCTTTATAGAGTAGTAGAAGAAATAGCGTGTGTTTGTTGCGCTGTTGGCGGAAAATGAGTGATGGGAATCTGGAGCAGCGGATTAAAATTGGCAAGTGCAAGTGAAACTTTAGCTCTGTTACAGCAGGCTTATGGTGAACATTCCATGAAGAAGTCAAGTGTTTTTCAATGGAATAGTCAGTTTAAGGAGGGGAGGGGAGATGTCCACGATGACACAAGAAGTGGGCAGCCAAAAACACAAAGGATGGATGCAAATGTGGAAAATGAAAAGGTTAGAGGAATCTGTTCAGAGGAAATGACCAGAACTCTGAACTGACAAGTGAGTTCTCCACCACGAGAATGCTTCTGCACGTAATATGTTAAGCATTTGCGAGTTCCTGGCTATTTTGAAACTTCAACAACCACCTTCTTCCCCGGACTTAGCACCCTGTGACATTTAGCTTTTCCAAAAGTAAAAAATGCCTTAAAAGGATACAGATTTTTTGACATCCCGGAAAGCCAATGTGCCTCAACAAAGATACCGTACAGTGTTTCAGAAAATGAATTCCTGGAATGTTTCTGGAAGTGGTACAGTTATCTAGAAAAGTGTGTCGCTATACAAGGAGACTACTTTGAAAGTGACAACACTTTGACATCTGCTAGTATATAAGGAAGTACACTTTTTTTTACAGTCCATTCTGGGAATTAAATTGTTACATCTCATATTGTAGTATATCATTCCTTAAAAGTGGTGGCTGCATTCATTTTCTTTTTTAGGCTTTTACTCCTTTTTTCTCACCTGGTGATCCAATAAAACACTTTCTGTCTTAGGGTGTCTTGATTCTGAATGGAGACGCTATGGAGACACTATTGGACAGCAGCATTGTTAATTTGGGGAGAGGGTAGTGTCAGGAATGGACTGGCCAGCAATGGTGGGACTCACCTGCCTTTTGATCTGCAGTACCTGGGCTGGCCAGCGGGTGCTCCCAGCAATCAGAGACTCAACCTTTCAGCCAGCTAACACCTGGAACTGATGATACTGGTGTATTTAAGGGATGGCCAGACTTGCAGACTCTGCCTTGGTGTTGTGTTTGTCCTGGGCCCTGTATCTGTCCTGCATCCTGTTTCTGTTCCTTTGCTGACCCTGCCTGATCTGAACCGCTGCTGACTTCTCCTGCTCTGATCCCGGCTCGCTCCTGACCATCCCTCTGCCTGACCCTCTGTACCACGCTGCTTGCTACCTGTTCTGATCCCTGGCTTGTGACCCTGACCATCCCTCTGCCTGACCCTCTGTACTACGCTGCTAGCTACCTGCTGAACCTGGCCTGTGACCCCGACCCATCTCCGCTTGCTCCCCCTGTACCTACCTGCCCTATTGATATTGACCCGGCCTGCCTGATGACGCTTGCTTGTATGTACTGTTATCTGTGGGTGGTTGGTTTGGTTTGTTTGCACTGTATTATGTTTTAGTATTGCACTGCGTTTATGTTTGTATGGTTAGTGTTAATAAATTATATTGTTTATCACATATCTGAAGTCTGCGTTTCCCTGCGTCAGTCACACACTCTGGTCACACCTGGGAGCCCTGACATTACACCAAGGCCAATCCTGACCAGAAGTGGCTGCACAGGGAAGCCATCTTGCCTTGTTGCTGGGAAGGATGGATCTGGATGAGGTTGAGTATTTATCTCTGCTAGTGCTTGATGACAGAAAATATGCTTATCAGACTCTGAAGGAGTATCCCCGGGATGAACTGCTAGAATGTATACGGCTCGCTCATGTTCTAGTAGATCAGGGCACAGATTTCTCTATGGTGCAGCCATTGATTAAGGTTTGTGTTGAGATGGTTTCATCTGGTTCCCCCGAATGCAGGGATGAATTTTTGCCACCATTTAGTGCAGACCAGGTAGAGTCCCTGGTGTGGTTATTAGAGGATGATGTGGGTTACTTTCTGGAGCGTTATTCCACATGTTCACCCCAGACACTAAGAGATTGTATAAACGCAGTACAGTCATTGACCAGACAGGCTTTGTGTAAGCTCAGCTTTGTTCAACCCATACTGCAGACATGGACAGACTTGTTGCACCCAGCCTCAGTCAGCTTACAAAGACCCAGTCCTGCTTCTAATCTATTTCCTCAAAGCTCTACTCCTGTATTCCCAACAACTCCCCCAGTTACAGCCCAGTATACTTGGCTATCTCTACCGCATGTCAGTACCCTGTTCCCACTCGCTGCACCTATCCTGCCTTTAACCCTGTAAAAAAAGCCCTCTGTAGCAACTGCTCCCTCTCCTGTTCCATCCTCCAGTTCTTCTCTGTCTCCAGCTGCTCCATTCGTTTGCAGACCTGCGTTTACTTGCAGTGCTCCAGTAGTTAAAACCAGAAAAAAGCGAAAATTCTTTCCAACCAATACCATCCTGCCAGTATCCAAAACCGGTGAACCTGCCTTCCGTGGTTCAGCCTGAAGCCTCTACTCAGCCTGAATCCTCTACTCAGCCTGATGCCTGTACTCAGCCTGATGCCTTTACGCAGCCTGATGCCTCTCTTCTGCCTGAAGCCTACTACTCGGCCTGAAGCCTCTACTCGGCCTGAAGCCTCTACTCGCCCTGGAGCCTCTACTCAGCCTGAAGCCTCTACTCAGCTTGAAGCCTCTACTCAGCCTGAAGCCTCTACTCAGCCTGAAGCCTCTACTCAGCTTGAAGCCTCTACTCAGCCTGAAGCCTCTACTCAGCCGGACGCGGCATTCAGCCTGATGCCTCTACCCAGCATGATGAACTGATCCAGCCTGATGATCCTATTAGGCCAGTTGACTCGATGCCCGCTGTTGATCCAGATGATCCGGTACCTGATCCAGTGCCCGCTATCGTGCCAATTGACTCAGAGCCCGCTGTCGTACCTGGTGACTCGGTGCCCACTGCCTTGCCAGATGACGCGGTGCCCGCTGGCGAGCCAAATGACCTGATGCCTGGTGACCCAGGGCCCGCTGTCATACCTGGTGACCCGATGCCCGCTGTCGAGCCAGACGATCCAATGCCTGGTGACCCGGTGCCCGCTGTCAAAGCCATCCGGACAATGACCCGGTACCTGATGACCCGGTGACCCACTGTCGTGCCTGTTGACTCGGAGCCCACTGCCTTGCCAGATGACGCACTGGTGCCCCCGCTGTCGAGCCAAACCCGATGCCCGCTGTGACCCGACCTGATGACCTGATGCCTGGTGACCCGATGCCCGCTGTCCAGCCAGACGATCCAATGTCTGACCCAGTGCCAGCGGTCATGCCAGTTGACTCGGTGCCCACTGTCGTGCCTGGTGACTCGGTGCCCGCCGCTTGTCTGACCCTGGGGGCCCGAGACCTGTCGCCCGCCTGCCTGGGGGTCCGGCGCCCGCCGTTCCGCCTGTCGGGGTCCGGCGCCCGTCCCGCCCCCCGCCTGGGGGCCTGAGACCTGTCGCTCCGCCTGAGGGCCCGAGACCTGTCGCTGCACCTGGGGGTCCGGCGCCCGCCGCTCCGCCTGAGGGCCCGAGACCTGTCGCTCTGCCTGGGGGTCCGGCGCCCGCCGCTCCGCCTGAGGGCCCGAGACCTGTCGCTGCACCTGGGGGTCCGGCGCCCGCCGCCGCTCCGCCTGAGGGCCCGAGACCTGTCGCTCCACCTGGGGGTCCAGCGCCCGCCGCTCCGCCTGAGGGCCCGAGACCTGTCGCTCCACCTGGGGGTCCGGCGCCCGCCGCTCCGCCTGAGGGCCCGAGACCTGTCGCTCCACCTGGGGGTCCGGCGCCCGCCGCTCCGCCTGAGGGCCCGAGACCTGTCGCTCCACCTGGGGGTCCGGCGCCCTCCGCTCCTGCCTGGGGGCCCGATGCCTGTCGCCCCGCCTGGGGGTCCGGCGCCCGCCGCCCCGCCTGGGGGCCCGGTGCCTGTCGCCCCGCCCGGGGGCCCGGTGCCTGCTGCTCCGCCCGGGGGCCCGGTGCCTGCTGCTCCGCCCGGGGGCCCGGTGCCTGCTGCTCCGCCCTGGTGGCCCGCTGCCTGCTGCTTTGCCTGGTAATCCGATGTGCCTCTGCCCGGAGTCCTGCCCGATGTGCCTCTGGCCCCGGAGTCCTGCCCGATGTGCCTCTGCCCGGAGTCCTGCCCGATGTGCCTCTGCCCGGAGTCCTGCCCGATGTGCCTCTGCCCGGAGTCCTGCCCGATGTGCCTCTGCCCGGAGTCCTGCCCGATGTGCCTCTGCCCGGTGTGCCTCTGCCCGATGTGCCTCTGCCCGGTGTGCCTCTGCCCGATGTGCCTCTGCCCGGAGTCCAGCCCGATGTGCCTCTGCCTGGAGTCCAGCCCGATGTGCCTCTGCCCGGAGTCCAGCCCGATGTGCCTGCCCGGAGTCCAGCCCGATGTGCCTCTGCCCGGAGTCCTGCCCGGTGTGCCAGTCTTTGATATCCCGCCAGTTACCAGACCCGGGCGGTGGAACATTTTGCCCAGCTAGGACTGTTTGGAGCGTCCTGAGGCCGCTCCTTGAGGGGGGGGTACTGTCAGGAATGGACTGGCCAGCAATGGTGGGACTCTCCTGCCTTTTGATCTGCAGTACCAGGGCTGGCCAGCGGGTGCTCCCAGCAATCAGAGGCTCAACCTTTCAGCCAGCTAACACCTGGAACTGATGATACTGGTGTATTTAAGGGATGGCCAGACTTGCAGACTCTGCCTTGGTGTTGTGTTTGTCCTGGGCCCTGTATCTGTCCTGCATCCTGTTTCTGTTCCTTTGCTGACCCTGCCTGATCTGAACCGCTGCTGACTTCTCCTGCTCTGATCCCGGCTCGCTCCTGACCATCCCTCTGCCTGACCCTCTGTACCACGCTGCTTGCTACCTGTTCTGATCCCTGGCTTGTGACCCTGACCATCCCTCTGCCTGACCCTCTGTACTACGCTGCTAGCTACCTGCTGAACCTGGCCTGTGACCCCGACCCATCTCCGCTTGCTCCCCCTGTACCTACCTGCCCTATTGATATTGACCCGGCCTGCCTGACGACGCTTGCTTGTATGTACTGTTATCTGTGGGTGGTTGGTTTGGTTTGTTTGCACTGTATTATGTTTTAGTATTGCACTGCGTTTATGTTTGTATGGTTAGTGTTAAATAAATTATATTGTTTATCACATATCTGAAGTCTGCGTTTCCCTGCGTCGGTCACACACCTCTGGTCACACCTGGGAGCCCTGACAGGTAGTATTAGATGCACTGGCAGATTTAGATTAGCTGCAAAGAAACCAACAGAGGGCACACCGGCCTAGTTTGTTTCTTTGTTTCTTTGTATCTAGTGTTCTGGACTTCCCCCGGTCCTTTGTGGGCAGCAAGGCGTGTAACATATAAAGCCATGTATAACTCTGCCCCAAATTTCATCTCCAATCTTGTCTCCAAATATCACCCAAACCGTCCTGTCCGCTCCTCACACGACCTCCTGCTCTCTAGCTCCCTTGTCTCCTCCTCCCATGCTCATCTCCAGGACTTCTCCAGAGCTTCCCCCATCCTCTGGAACTCTCTACCCCAATTTATCAGACTATCGCATACTCTGCTCACTTTTAGGCGATCTCTGAAAACCTATCTCTTCAGGGAAGCCTATCCTGCCCTCAGCTAATAATGGAATCTTCTACTCCTCCTATCAGTTCATCCCCGACAGTTACTACATTTTGTACCACTAGCCCCTCGCTCTTAGATTGTAAGCTCCAAGGGGCATGACCCTCCTAAACCTCTTGTATTGAACTGTATTGTTGCTGTATTGTCTCCCGTTATATTGTAAAGCGCTGAGCAAACTGTTGGCGCTATATAAATCCTGTATAATAATAATATACTAATCATCCAGGATCTCTCCTATGGATCCATAGTCACACCGAGTTCACCCCCAAGCGCAGGAGTAATTTGTATTTACTATTTGAAGATTTAGATTAGCAGCTGATACCTCCTGCTAATACTTGTTTAGGCAGTTACAGCAACAGGTTTTGTTTTCCTTTTGGAATAAAGGTGGAGCACTACTCTCGTAGGAGCCACAGGAATACTGTCCAAGTCCTCCCCAGTTACTTTGATTCGCAGCCAGGCACATAGGCTCATTCACACGATTCTCCAATAACCAGTCTAGGGGGTGTTGTTTTTGTTTTTTAATTTTTGAAGAATTGACATAGGGATGAGGGAGATGAGTGGGATACTCCAAAAATTGGAACTGTGTACATTGAGGACTTTATCTAATCTTCAGAACCAGCTGAAGTCTAATGTGCATGTATGAATGTGAGTTAGGGACCTTAGATTGTACACCCCTTGAGGGTCAGGGACTGATGTGAATGTACAATACATATATATATGTGTAAACCGCTGCGTAAATGGATGGCGCTATATAAGTACCTGAAATAAATAAAATAAATAAAAATAAATAAATACTGTTTGATTCAAGCAAAGACTTTTCACTGTGTTGCGGGAAGTTGTATGCCCCTATGGGGCACAAAAGCCAAAGCACTACTGGAGCTGGTACATGAGAACCTCCCAAGTGATAAATAAAACTGAGCCTGGAAAGATTTTCTTGTCATAGGGCATGGTCAGGGAAAAAAAAAAGGATGATCAGGGCAAGGAGGACATTATGAATTTGGGATAAAGGGTTAATAAATAACTCTAAGGTGCCCACACATGTATCAAAATGTAACAATATGATCATTCAATCATTGCTCATGGAAAATACTCTGGATCAGGGGCGGACTGACCATTTGGAAACTCGGGCACTGCCGAGGGCCCGGGATCAGTAGGAGGCCCCATGAGATGCCCCTGGTACCTTTTTCATAGGCTTTTTTGAGTTTGGGCAAAGACACAGGGGCCCTATGATCCCCTATTGCCCAGGGGCCCCATGAGTTGTCAGTCCGCCCTTGCTCTGGATGATTATTTAACTAGAAGGTAAGTCAAGTTTTTTTTTCTTTTAATAGGGGAATGAGTGCACAAGAGGTTGGAGGGGGTGGAAGGAGGGTTTAACATTTACCTAGAGAAGGTATACAAATATTACATGTGTAGTCCAATAATTATGCACTTCCAAGCAATGTCAAATGTAAAAGCTATCATTTAAAAGTGTTAATAAATACAGTCAGTATAATCCTTATTGTAAGTTTTCCTAAATAATAACAGGTTTGTTTTTATTAAAGCACAAATAATTTAGTAGTTCTTTTAGTTATTTGTAGTCATTAGAATACCCATAACGCAATTGAAGCTTATTGTGTTCATTGTGTTTTATTAAGCTCAATAACCTGTTATTTAAAGAATTTTTCACAGCATGATTCTGTTCAAACAAATGTAATCCCTAAAACGGTGCTTTAGAGATCACTAAAGTTTAATACGGCAATATACAACATTTCCTTATTTAACCTAACAATCATCTGAGAATACCGAATTTATAATTTTTTTAAAGACTATCCAGATTATTATTCTCGAAAGAGTAGTTCACTTTTAGCTTTTGCTCCATCTTTTTCTAACAATGGTAATCTACTTTCCATCTGTATACCATACAGTACGGTCACTGGCACAAGGTGATACAGTAGCATTATAGAATGCATTGGTAGTACATTATGATGTCACCAGATGGTAAGTGAAAGTATAAATACAGAGCTGTATTGTATATCAGGAAGTGCTTTTACAATGTATTGGATATTTTTATGCTACTTTTTAGATATACTGTAATATTTTTAGACACATTAGAATTTTGATGTTTCTGCCATGAGACCTTCAGGGTTATGCTAAAGTCTAAGTTTACGTTAACAAAGAAAAAATCACAATGAACATTACTAATCTTTACGGATTTTCCTCCTTGTGCTGCTGTGTCCTCATTTAACAGATATCCTGCTCCTCTGATTTTCCCCTCCCCTGCCTCCGTAATCTTGCGAGGGCTAAAAGAACAAAGGGTGCTGTCACAGGTTCTCATCAAGAGCGCCCGACTATGCCCATACTTTCCTCCTAGCTGCTCCACTCACAGAAGCCTAATGCAGCTTCTATGAATGAATTGTGATCTATGACTGGAGGGGGGGGTGGATGATTGACAGCTCTGCCCCCTTCAATTCATAGATCGGATTTCATTTCTAGAAGATGTAGTACTTTATTCACACTACCCCAATTTGTGGATACATTTAATAAACTATATCAGTTTAATCAGCATTGCATTTTCTGTATTTGTTTTAGCCCTGATGAGAGGGGACACTTGGAAGACCTGAAATGCAGTGGCTGTAATTCATTTTATTTGGACTGTGCTGATGAAATAGATTCTTTTTTGGACCCTGAAATAGTGGTGTGGCCCTATAATCTCATGGCTTTGTTGATAAATAAAGAGTATG